GTCATTTATAAGCTGGCAATGATCTTCAAGCGTTTTCATGCCGTTCATGATGTTCATTATTTTGGGATCATCCATCTTAGCCAGGTAAATGTATTATAATTATCTAAGGGGGAGAAAAAATACGAAACAAATTATAGAATAAAACAGGAAATTCAAGTTAAGTAATAAAGATGGTTGGATGTAGATAATTTTAAGGCGGTTTGGTTTATTAAGCAGACCTAATAAGATTAAAATATCCTATGCCATTTTTAGTAATTTTGTTAAAATCATACTAAACTTTCAACTACATAAAATAAGCTTACTAATCACTTGTTAAATCGTAAACCGCTTAGGAGAATGAGTACCCCACTTTAAGCCAAAATTTATAGTGAAAAGAACTGCAATTCCATTCCCTTTCAGCGACACAGATAATCCCTTAATTGAATATCTCGACACCCATTCAGCTCACCGCCTCAACAGAAGTTTCGGGAAATTATTCCTTTAATTCGAGCTAGATGAATGAGAAGCGAAAACCATAAAGCCAATTACAACAGCCCCAAAGCGGTAGCCATGCGACTGTTTCTTGGCTACTAAAAATCAAATATATATAAGTAAATTTCGCTCCAGTAAAGCCCGAAATTTAATTAAAACTTTGTTTCTTTCTGGTAGACCAGAGAAAGCAGGAGGGAAATAGAGTCAGAGGGAGAAGGAGAATAGAAAAAGAGTGGAGCGGTTCAGTGAAATTTCTAATGAAGTGCCAGACGCACCTGTTGACACAGGCCAAAAACACGAAGGCAAAATGAAAAATCAGACAGATATGGTACCGAACTCTAAACGAGAGTCAAACTCAAATGAAATTAAATAAAATTTAAATTTTTGAAATTGGTTGCAGCTTGGGATGAGGTTAATGAAACTATGCAAAAACAATAACAAATAATTTACAGAATTTTTGAACTTGTTTTATTTACAGCAAAGTGGCAGCGAATTTATGGAAATCTCGAACTGGACATGAAATATAAATAAACTCGTTTTAGGCATAGGAATTTCAAAGTGCATGCACAAGTTACTTGAACTCAAATATTTCAATTCGAATCGAGGGTCCAATGTCAGTCAATGGCGGTTCGATGACTGCTCAAATCATTGGTTATTACAGACTAACAAAGATAATTACACGCTGACCAGCATTAATAAAGCCTCGCGTCAATTGAATTAAGTTTTTCGAAAATCCAGGCTGAGACACAAAATCCGGGCCAGATCTCAAACGAAATGACAATGTAATCAATGATCAGGGGCATTATTCCACAGGGCGATATCTCAGACAAAACAAAAGCAGAACAAAAAGTAAATACGGCGCGGTTCACAACTGAACCCTAGCCTTTCGATTCGATTCCCAACAGGTATTTAAAATTGGGAATCAGTGGCCATCATTAACTCGCCTTTATGGCCCCAATTTATAGGTACAATTTTGGGCGTAAACCACCCAAGTAAATTGGTTATGTAAATAGGTGACTGGGTTGGATCATTAAATAAAAGTGTAAGGCGATAAGGGAATGAAATAACAACAGTATTTAGAATAATTGCCACACACTTTGGGCAGTTATTATCTTGATTTAAATAATATATGTTCATTGCCTTCACTTTTTCGGTGTATGAGTGTATCGTGAATTTATTAAGTAAGATTAAACGAATTATACAATGTTAAGAAACTCCTTTAATTAGTTTAAGTAATAATATTCTTTCTCGAATTCATTTATTAAATAATTCAATGAGTGGATGAACAATTTCAATAAATTAATTATTGTTAAACGAATGAGGTTCCATATAATTATAAATTAATAAAAATCATATAAATTGTTTTAATAATTCAGATCGGCTTATAACTTCGCTCGACACTGTCTGTATGTGCTTGTGCACGCACAACCAAACGGGTTATGAACAATGGGAAGAAACAAACAAAGAGACTTTAAAATGAATGTAAAGGGTGTAAGAGACAAAGGGTCCCCAAAAGTTCGAAAACGATATGCAAATTAAACAATTTCGTGCAAGTCAAAGACTCGCACAATTAACCCATATTTGCCATATTCGCAAATAGAAACCCAACTCCATTACCCATTACCCATTCCTCATTTTCCATTTTCCATTCGCATGCAGTTTCTGTGGCTGCGGGGTGTTGCATTTCACACCAATTGAGAAGCTTTTACACCACTCGCGCTTGGCTCGGCGCTCACTCAGTCGGATGAGTGACGAAAGCAACACAGTGCAATCCAATGACAGAAAGCGGGGATTCCCCGGGGGCAGGCTGGCAGGCAGAGACACTTAGTTAGCTGGGCAGACTGCCAGCTCCGTCCAACTGACTGGATACCACCGAGACCCACCTGCCCCCCCCCGTTCCCCCAAAAAACCCGAACTAGCTAGCTAACTGGGAGTACGGCCAAAAAGCCACTGCAGCTGATTGCACCACGTTGGCGACCACAGAGCCACCGATGCCAGCGAAGAGCGTCCACCCATCCATCCATCTGCCCATCCGTCCATCCAGCAGTCGCTTGGAAAAGCTTCGAAAGGTACTCCTTCTGTACGCACTGAATGAACTTCTGATGGAGAAAGGAGAGAGGGGCAAGGGCAGGGGTGCGACTTTGTAGCCGAATTTATACATTGTTTAAGTATCAGCCGCAGATACTTCCACACCGCCCCACCACCGAGCTTTCCCCGCTGCCCACTCCCTTGTCGACACAGAAACTCCATCGTCAATGCACATCGAAGCGCAGCTAATTGAAACAGTTCGGCACAGTGGGTCGAAACAACTAAATAGTGATTTTAAAATCTCAATTAATCTCCATTTACTTAATAAATTAAGACATTTCAGTAATATTTATTATATCAGGGCGTAATTTCGGTTGTTAAATATAACAAATTTTATTTCAAAAGGTGTAGAATGTCATTCTTACAAAAAGTTAAAGCAGATTTAACTAATAAAGTTTAAGTATTTCAAAGAAAAATAACAAAGCTAATCCAGGTATGTTAAATCTTTACTTAAAATAGTTCTTACTTAATTTGAAATAACATATTGGTTTCTTGAGCGACTTTATGTTTTCAACATCTTGTGGTGCAAATTTGTTAAAATGACCTGGTTGTATAAAAAGAATTTTTGTGGAAAGCTTTTTGCCCAGAAATGTTACCACTGTTTGACTCGATCTGGTGTTGCCGCTTCTGGTACTTCTTTTACTTTTAGCGCTTGTTTGCGTGCGGTGCACCATACTGCCTGCAGTTGTTGTTGTTGCTGCTGCTGCTGTTGTTGGCCGGCCTGCTGCTGCTTCGCCAGCAACAACAACACAAAAAACTTTTCGGGTAACAATGGGCTGAAAAACAAAAGTATGAACCTCAACAATAACAACTGCATCCAGGAGCAGGGGCAGAATCGGCCCTGTTAGCAGTGCAACAACATAGCACCATTGGGAGCAGCAGCAACAACAATGAGAAGAACGCGGCCAACAGCAAACAAAAAATCAGCGACTGCAGCACTTCGCTTATTTTCATGAATTTCTGTTCTCGCCACCCAAATGCGAATCGAAAATTTCATCACTACCCCTTTTTCCGCTTTCCCTTTGCTTTTTCCCGGCCCCAAACCCTCGTCGCAAACACTTTTGACGAGACTCATTCGCTTTGAATTTTATTTAATGCTTTTGTAATAAAGTGTAAAATGGTGGAAAAGTGCAAACAACGGCCCCAAGAGTGAGAAATGCAAAGGGGAACACGGGGTAGTGATGCATAATATCAGCAGCAGCAGCAGTAGTATCATCATCATCATCGTCAGAAGGCAACATCGTTAACAGGAGGAGCAGGTCCTGAAATTGGTGGGCGGAATAAGTAAGAACTGCGGCCAACACCAGTGGCCACATTAAAAGAAGAAGAAATAATTAACAGCAACAGTTTGAAAGTCCATAAAATGGAAATGGCCGAGCATTGCCATTGCCATCACCCATCACCCACCACCTACGGACCACTCCACCCAGCATTGCCTCATTGGCATCGCCATTACGAGTGGTGGTGCAGACGCCATCGCCATCGCCATCGCAACCGCCACGACCACCGCATGTGCCATACAACTTCCGACTTCCGTTGGCTTTGGCCTGTCTGAGAGTCTGGTCTGACTGGGTCCGGACTCCGGACTACGGTGCCATATACTCGTACTCGTACTCGCTTATATATACGTAATGCTGCACCGGGCCCTACTCGCCGGCCATACCCTTTTCGGGCTAAGTGGCCATGACTGTGCAATCGATTTGGTTGCATCGCCACGTATTTACTGTCAGCCCCCGTGACAATGCAAATAGTTTGAAGAGCAAACACAATGTTTCCACAGATTATACAAACGATCTTTCTTATATAAAATTACTTCGAGCACTGATTATATCAGATAACAAATTCAATAACTTGCCGAGCGAGGCAAACAAATTATAAAAATTATTCAAATGTGAGCCATTCCCACAAATTTTCTTTTCAATGACTGAAATCAGTACCACTGAAATATTTTAATACATTAATTATAGATCATTAGTCTTAGAAGTTCTAAAACACTATATTAAGAATTAATGTTCTATTGCTTCTAAGATCATTTTATCAGTTGGTAAGGAAATCAGAATTATTTCTAAGCTTTAGAAAATAAATTCACAAAATTAAATAACTTATACAGATTAAAGTTAAGGAGAGTTTAATTAAATAGTTTGCGTTTTTTTACCGCTACAACCAAGGAGTGTTTAATTCATATTATGAAATTATGTAAATAAGTTATTTTTCCCACAGGGTATACCAAATTCATTGAATTGTCCTGCCTTGACTTTACCGCTTTCATTCTTGGCTATTTGTTAATACCGCTGTTGCTGTGCGTCTGTTGTTGCTTTTGCCGTTGTCACTGGGTTGACACACAAGCAAAGAGTCGGTGCGAAAAATGTTCGTTAAATCTATTAAAAGATAATTACGTGAAGACAAATGGACGGGCGGCAGGAGCACGGCGGGGCGTCCGGATGGGTATCCTTGTGCCTGGCATGGGCATCCTATCCAGTGGCAGTGCTCCGGTGTCCGTATCGGTGGCCATGTCCGTATAGTTGTCCGGGTCCGGGTTCGGGTTCGGTAGTCACCACCGTACACATCCATACATATGTACGTTATTATTATTCGAGTTCGTTGATACGATAACGCTAATGGATATGGATATTGATTATAGTTTTTATGTCGCTTATGCATCGTTGCTGTTGTGGCTTCTCGCCCGGCTCCCTGTCTCCTTTCTTTTTGCCATCTCGCATTCCCCATCCGACAGACTCCATTTCCCACCTCAATGCTGGGGGTAATGATAATTTTGATTATATTGATGCGTCATTTTATGAGCCGCAATGGTATTGAAATTGAGTGGTCGTCTGTGACAGGAGCGTCTAGTTTATGGCGAGCAGCATAATGGCAGCCGATGCCAATTAACAGCTGCTCAAATGAATCTCTCCGATGGGATCTAATGAAAGAAGCCTTCGTTCAGACCCCATTAAGCAGGGATTAGGAGGAGTCCTCCCTTTGTGGGAATCGTCAGCCACCCCGACCTTTGGATAATATGTGTGTGCTCGAGCACTTAGTAGGTAGTGGGTATTGGGTAGTGGGTCGACGGTAGTAATTGCAGTCGATGGGAACTGCGAAGTTTAGCTATTGCTGGCGAAATGCGGTGTCTTAACGACTTTATCCAACGTCCGATGTTTGTTTGCATTGAGCAAACTGCAGGTTCTTGACACTCCCCCCGAGCTTCTGGGAAATGCTAATTACACGTATCTTTTCAGCAGAACGTGTGCGAATTCGCAATATCCAATTACGAAGCTTACACAAGTGACAAAGATTTGCGGCAATTAAATTAATGAAACTTTGCGGGGCTACGTGTCTTGGATCTTGTACAGATATCTCTTTGAATACATTTGAATGCTATCAGTTGATATCTTTCCGGTTGGTGGAGCTGCGCCTGCGTCACAATCGTGTACAGCACTCCATTGCATTCCAATCCCCATCCATTTTGGGGGTAACCAAAAACCAGCCACACCTGAGCTGCCGGCCAATTCGAGCGTTTAACCAAATAGTTTCGGTTATGTCTGTGCGGCTGGCAATAACGTTTATGGATTGGCCTGGCAAATATTGCCAAGCAATTGCCTCATATTCGCCTTTTCGCATGGCCATAACAGCAATCAAAGCGAAATTGAATAGGCAAATTACCAATCTTCATCTACACGCAACCAGAGCTGACACCTAATGATGACCCAGAGAGCTTTTCGTGAAATGTATATAATAAAATGCGGTTTAAACGCAGTTAAATATGAGATTGACATAAGGGTATCGTCTGACAGTAACCAAACCCCAGAGGAAACTTTTATTTAAATAGTGAAATTGATTCACAGTTGCCTTGACAATTTTATTCAGATTTACAGCCCATTAAAAATACCACTATTTCGTATATACAGTTTATTCAAAGTGTTTTTATACTGTAAATCATATTTTTTCATTTGCCAATTTTACAGGAATTAAGAATGAGAATAAAAAAAATTCCACAACTTTAAATCAATTTGAATTTCTGGCTCAGCATAGTTCAATTTGTATATATAGCTACAAGAAAAACAAATCACGCCAAAATAATCCAAATTTAACGTTTAAATCTTTCATTATTAAGGGTAATACAATTCAATGTGCAGCTCGATTAATGGAATTCTCATTAATTAATAATTAATTGGTTATTATTATGAATTATTTTAATTTGATTGTTTTCATTCTTCATTTAATGAATACATAAGGTTAATTTAAAATTTTCATAAAATGAACAATGAACAAAAACCGCCATGAACAATTTCTAAATCAATTTCAATTGTTTGTTGCACCATTATTACACCTGCTTATTTATGGCCAGTTTTTCAAAATTGTGGAAAAACTAATCGCACACCCACTTACCCACATGCATTCATAAGCACACACATTTACAAATTGTAATTACATAATTCGCTCATTATCAATGACAACAACAATTACAGCAACACGACATTACAAAATCGACATAAAACAAAAAAGCGTAACGAATGCGAGAAGGCGAATAAAAAAATATAAATAAATTAAATGCGCTTCGCTATAATTTATATTAATTAATCGGTTTCATTTTTTCTTCTTTCGCGATTTAGTTGCTGCCATAATGGTGGAAATCACGGCAAAAATCAATGCAACAACAATCGCTGGCATGTAATGCCACGGCAAAAAATGTAATGCAAAAACAAATTTATGCGCTAATAAATAAGCAAACATTTAAATCGTTTTCAATTGCTATCTCTATCTCCCTCTCTCCTCGACTTCTTCTCCCTCTCACTGCCCCAATTTGTGTAATTTATAATTGAATGTAATTTGAAATTTTTGTTTGGCGTTTGCATATAAACTATGATATTTTCCAATTAAACTAAAACAAAAGCCTTGCAAACTCCAAGCTTTCACAAATCAGAGCTAAAAATTAGTTAATGAAACCCAAGACAAAAATTACCTATCAATTACATTCTATGAAGAAAATACACTAGTTGAAGAATTCTATGTTAAATGTTGTAAATTATTTTTACACATATTCCTTAACAATAATTTCAATCAATGTAATTTCAATGTTATTTGAAACCTTTTGTATAACCAGTGCTCGCCAAAGATTTATTTTACTAAAATTCAACAATTTTTCCAATGTTTTTAAATGTTTAAATAAATATATTTTTTAAATTACTTTATTATATTTTCACAAAATTTACTTAGTATTTAAAAAGTTTTTGACCGAAATCGTGTACCCAGTTCTACCCAACTAATTGAAGGGTATCAAGGGAGTGGGTAATCATAATGGAAATTCTTTGCAAATTGAAATTGCAGCCTCTTGAGCTTGAAGTGGCATGCGACATGCCTGGGAGGGGGCGTGGCAAGCGCTCGACCCACTTAGAGGGCGGTGGTGGCAGAACAATAGGGCGGGGGTAAACGGTTAAGAAATCACGTCATAAACGCGCCGAGCACGAATTATTTACCAAGCACGCGAAAGCCTAAAAGAAGGCCCTCCCCAATAAAATAACAATAAACTATGCTCCATAGCCCAGCCGATGGGCGATGGGCGAAGGGCGGTGGGCGGTGGCTTAGTCATAAAAACAAAGCAACAAAAGCAAAGGGAAACGGAACAACAAGCCGCAGTGGCATAAACAATTGTGTTACAAATACGACTACAAATGCATAAAGCAGCGCTTGAGTTGGCCAAAAGGAATCCAGCCGGCAGCAACAACAAAACGGAGCAACAAATGTCGTCTCTTATAGACGATTATTTATTGTTAACGATTTATATTTGTTGTTTGTGCTGATGCCGCTGCTGGAAAAGCTCACATTTCAAAGCTGCTGCCCTCGTACGTGCGAATGTTTGAGTGCCAGCCCCAGATTGCAAGCTCCATTCCCCGTTTTCGTCCTGGCCCAAACGATTGAGCCTGATTGCCGGCTCAAGTGTCGGTCGCGTCACACAGGGCGTGGATTCAAGGATATGAATGGAAAGGGGCATGCTGTGGGTGTGGCCCAGCCTCTTAGAGCTGAGCACTGCGTCCTGCCAACAAGGCAATCATTTTTTAATATTTTGTGGCATCCAAGACCTTAGAGGGTCCTTTACTAAAGCTTAAGCTTTGATACCAAATGTTAGGGTACCAGATCAAGTCAAAATAAAGAGTATTTTTATTGGTGTATCATTTTTTACTGAACGAATTTGTACAGATTATATTTTCTTGTATTATGTGTACACTTTGTTATGTTGTATTTATGTATTTTTTGTTTTTATTCTCTAATGCCTTGTAATGTTTTTAGCTTAACAAGGCAACATGTATTTATTTTTATAGTTATTAATCGAATTTTATTGCTGAATTTTAAAATGTTGTTCCTCTTCAAAACTACAATATTTTAAAATGATTGTATTTGTATTCAGCCACCTTTACATATTTTAAACATGATAAACTCTTGTATTTGCTGTGTTTTAATTTAAGACACGGCACGATTAGAATTTGTGTGGCAAATCATATCCACAAATTAATTTACCTGATTTCCATAAACAAATATATTACAAGGCCGTTAAAGTTTAAAGACATATTATTTTAAATAGGGTCTACTTGGGCTTCCTATACATTTAATATCCAATCGATTATAAAATTAGTTTTAAATTCATTAAGAAATATTATCAAACTTAAATGAGCGAAAATTGTGCTGATCATCTGAGCTGTGGAACGGCCAGTTAAATGACCTTTCTTTGGGAAATGGTGCGTGTGATCAACGGCTGATCTGTTGATTCCGCACAAACCACGGGCATCTCTGGCTGTGATGGCCATCAGCTGCAAGTGCTACAGTTCCAGCTCGCTTTCCCACACGTCGCTGGCGACATTCTTCTTCGTCAAGTGCGCGGCATGTTTGACAGCAATGAGAGCTTAACACGTACGAGCGCTTTTGTTCGATATTCACTGATGGTGCTGTTGGTGTAGTATTGTTGCCGGTATTGTTGGCTTTGTTGGTGTTGCTCATTTGCCACTTTATCTTGGCATTGTGCATGTTATTTACTGTTGCCTCAACCGACTTCCTTCAGCCGTCTCCTTTGTATCCCAACTTGTAGTATCTGCGGACTGTCAAAGTATCTGTATCTGCAGCCCTGTATATCTGTGCGTGCACATTGTTTTGTGTGTGACAAATTTTCGTAGGAAATCATTTGCTATGCTCTGTTAAACGATGGCTTCGTTCTCTCGTAAGCTTGTGTGCCGCCCAATTCATTGAGTCTACTGCCAGAGGGTTTGGTTACCCCGACCAGGGCATCGAAAACGCCCCGAATAAACCAATTTAGGAGGAACAAGACCAAGACGAAGAACAATACCCGACCCACTGACCCACACACAAAGTAGCACAAAGATGTTTTACGAGTGCTGGCTGTTGTTGTAACAATTTGTTCATTACTTTTTATCACTTGCGGAGGGGTGACCTTTGCCCTCAAAGCAAAATTGTTGCCCCTTTTTTTTGCTTGGACAATTTTTTCCCTATTTTTTCCCTGCTGCTCATC